TCTTTTTTTTTGTCTTTCTCTCTTGAGATGGAAGGAGTTGCACCTGGCGTAATTTGTATGCGGAAAACCGCGCCGCAAATACTGTTGCCGTTTCAATGCGGGCCTTCGTTTTCTTAGGATTTTCCGTTTTCTATGCTCAAACTTGACGGACACTAATTACCATTCGGTTTTCCACCCTTTCCCGTCTCTTATTTATTTGTTAATTCATTTAAGAAAACTTAGTGAAATCCGAATTATGTCCTTTGCGAGGGTAGATTCTGGATTAAGGTTTTAAGGGGGAGGACATACAACACGTACACGGACGAAACGCTCACAGACAATTGTCTGGCAAGTTTAATTGACTTTCCACAAATGCCTTATTCCTGCAGAATATTAAGCACAGAGTAATTTAATTTAAGAGACACAGAATAATTAATAAATACTTACCGAGTGAACTTCAAATTTTATTGTTTATTGATCTTGATCAAAAATAAATATAAATTTGAAAATTAATTGTTTATGTAAGATCTGTCATTTTCACAAATTTATTCCATTTTTACTCAATGAACTGTAATTCAATTATGAAAAATGACATTAAAATATAACAGAATGTATATGAAATTAATGAAAACAACATACAAATTACATAAAACTGTACATTTTAAAATTAATTATTTTAAAATTAACTTTAAGATTTATAAATATATATATTTTTAATCACATTTTACAAAATAATTACAACTCAAATATTATAAAAAGAGCTTTTCCAGCAGCAATAAAGAACTTGTTACGTTTGACTTGCTCAAATACAAGTACTTTAGACTACTTGTAACATGTGAAATGTACATGATACAAGTCTTTAACAAGTAAAATTGAGATTAAATTTCATATTTAATTGTTTGAGAATTCTACAGTAAAATTTCATAAAATTTTGGATTAGAACAAAAATTTTAAAAGAATCTAGTATAAAATGAATATGGATTTTTGATTTTGAGTTCACGTGAAAATGTATTATGAAGTCCATTAAAATATGATCAACTCAACTAAATATTACTTCAACAATAATGGAAACAAAACCAATTACACTAATGCCTCTCGATTTATAGGAAATTGGTTTACATGTTATTGACGCAAACTGTAATTACATTTGTAGCACCAGCAGTTAGTCAAAAAACTATTAAATTCATTTAATTCTTTGTTTACAAATTTAAATAAATTAACAATTAATAACATTAAAATAATAATATTGATAATTCCAATTATAAAAAACCATAATTTTTTCACATATAATAATTTAATTACTATATTATTCATGATTTTGATTAAATTATCTGAAACATTCTTCATATTTAATTAGTAAAAAAAAATCATTAATTTATAGTATCTATATTTACAAAATATGAAACATTTTTTCTTTATTAATAAATAGTAAGAGAAATAATGTTATTGATTCCATAAACTTACTTTATCCTAGAATGTGGGCTATACGCGAACAACTTGAAATTGAGTTTAAGCAACTCCACTATTGAAAAGCACATGCATCTAAACAAGTAAATAAATTACTAAAGTACAAATTTCTTTTAAAATCTAGTTAAACTTTTTGTGAATATGAAAATGAATGAAATTTATGATTATGAATGAACCAAAATATTGATACATATACTATACTATATTTAATATAAAGGTGCGTACACACAACGTGTAACTTCGTTCAAGTAAATCTTAAAGAGTATGGGAAATCGGAAAACTTGAACATATAACATACGTATGAAAATAAATTTAATTTTCAGTTAGTTAAATGAATATAAAAATGTTAATAATATTAATTAAATCCAAATAATAAATTAAATACTTTTTACTTTTTTTGTAGTAGTGTGTACGCATCTTTATATTTTTACTAATTCGATATGAATCAAAATACTAAATGAAGTGTATCTTAAAATGTCACCAATTGGTGATTAATGTATTTAAAACGTTAATGAACACAATTCATCTGAAATTGACATCGAACCTCGCAAATTGAAGATAAATCCATTAACGTCCTCGCATGTTGCGTAACCAAAGTGGAGGACGTGACAATAATGAATTATTGAACGAATTAATTAGAGCCGACGGGCCAATCTCTTTCCACTTCCCATTCAATTTATGCGAATATTTTTACACATCCATTCCGTTTGCTACAGCTTAAATTAAGCGGATTACGAAATACACCAAAAAAAAAACAACATATATTTATACACGAAATTGCTGTATGCATATTTATGTGACAAACTCTGAGCTTAAGAATTGAAGTCGTCGTTTCTTATACAAATTGAATTTGAAAAAATATACGAATATTTGTATACATCCATTCCGTTTGTAGCAGCTTAAATTAACAGGATTACATCATTTATTAATACTCACTACATTCTGCTTTCGTATTCATTTTTTGAATCCATTCAATCTATTATAGTTTCTGAGAAAGTCAATAAAATATGAAAACATTACTACTGTTTCAAGTTTTGAACTTAAAACGTAAATTACAGCCAAACTGATGAAACCACAGTGAATGTATGATTCTCCAAACGTCCAAATTTCATATATATCTTTTGAATCCATTCAATTTATTGTAGTTTCTGAGGAATTCACTAAAATATGAAAACACTACTTTAAAGAGTGTTAATTTTTCTTTGTTTAATCTTCGAAAAATTGAATTTGAAAAGAAATATTGAAATCCTTTTACATATTATTTCCAGTCTTACAGCTTAAATTAATTGTAATGCATACAGAAGATGAAGAAACATAGACACGGAATTACAACATGCATATTTATGCTACAATTTCTGGTCCTAAGAATCGAAGGCGTTACACAGTACAAAAAATTGGATTTGAATAACGGTATTCCATTCGAGGCACGTGTGAAATTTCGGTCGGCAATTTGTTTCAGCATCGAAAAATAACGTTTTATGCAATATGATAACAATTTTCTAGTTTGTTTATATAAAAATTGCTTCTAATTTAATTTAAATCTGTTCATTGATGAATGAGTGGATGTTATGAATCCTCTATTAACAATAATCAGCTCTTGTTCGCTAAACGTTGAATCCTGTTAAAGTACAATTTCCATCGCTTGTGACAGCCATTATTGTACTGATCGTCTGAAATCAAGCGGCTTTTAAGCCCCATTGTCACAATTCAATCCTCCAATAATAACATTTTACCCAATACATAAATTTTATACAAGTTTTTCTATATCTATTTGTATTTTCACAAACAAACAAAGCGCCATTTCAGTAAGTGATTATGCAAATCGGAGCACTCCGAATGCATCAGTATATTTCTCAGTTTTGCAGTTTTCAAGCGAATCGAATCCAACGTTGAATTAATGTTATAGAATGGAAAACGCATTTAGTTCTTTACTTTTTATATATTTTTTTTATATACAAAAACAAATCAATTTGTAAGTATATATGGAAAATAAATTGGAGAATATAAGCTAAAAACTGTTATGTATTGAGGTAATCATATACGATCACGTTTCTGACTGCATTTCCATTTTTCCAATTGCATTATTTAAATGCAAAATGTATTTGAATTCTACAATATTACTTTTATTGATTCTATAGTGTAATATCACATGAATATTATATAATATACTTTTCTGAAAATAAAATGATCAATTTACAATAAATTTTACTTAACTTTAATCTCTAATGAACTATAACAAATTTTAGAAGCAATTTCTTACCAAAAGAGCCACATCTGTTATATAATCTATGAATTATATAATCAACTAATTAAAAAAATGACTAATATCCGGAAATCATTAACTTGACGTATTTTGTAAATTTAGTGCAGTCACAATGATTTGAATGTACATACGTTAATAATAATTGGTTATAATGATACCAAAATGATAGTAACATTTATTTGTCAATTATACCAACGTAAAAAAATACGTCACTATACTTTGATACAATCTTTAGGGAAATTTATTTGATATATACGTACATTTATGACTCGATATATTTGTATCTAAAACTTTATGACGATACTTACGTTTATTGTCAGAACGCAGGATGTTATATGAATGCATTACATAAATGCGAATACACTACAATAGATGAAATATATGTGAATGCATTATATATATACAGCAATACCTCGCTTAGTCCGCTAATAAACCGGACTTTTTGAAACCAGATTAATACATACACAAAAAATCGCACCATGGCTGTATAAAAGCAAAAATACGATTTGTATAAATAAAATATGTTTACTTTATTTTTCTCAATTAAAATTTTCTATGTTTTGAAATTTTCAAACAGCAAATCCGGACTGTGCAAATCAGGATTATGCTATGCAAAGTAAAGAAAAAACTGTCGTTCCAATTTTTACAATGCAATTAAAAATAGTAAATTTGTTCATGAATTGGATCAGTTTTTATATAAAACAAATATGTAGTATATTTCTCAATTAAAATTTAGTGTATTTTAAAATTTTCCTTGCATATTAAGAGTTTCTGATACATCTCGGGGGTCGAGGATTTAAGCACGACAAAAAAAAATGTAATTAAAAATAGTAAATTTGTTCACGAAATCGGAACAAGTCCGGACGATAAAATCGCATTACGCATTCATATTATTCATGGAAAACTATCCTCCCCTCCAAATATATTCATGTGTGCGTCCAATCTCACATCTACTCCCACGCAAAACACACACACACACACTCATCCGCATTCCGAAAACTTTTATATTTTACTTTCCGTCTCCAAAAAACTCAAACACGACTATCTCCGCCTGTTTATATTCCGCACTTCCGAACTCACACACACGCAGACGTAACAGCAGTTTCTACGTTATATTAAACTCTGATATCTGAAACGCAACTTTCCGAATTCACCCCCCCAAACGACGAATTCCATTATTTATAATGAAACCTCCCCTTTTTTTTCTTCATTCTCGAAAAAAAAACTTTGCTTCGAGCTTTCGGAAACTTCTGATGGGTATTTTTTTATATTACATTTTATTGTAGGCTAAGTAAATTAGGTTAGGTGTTTTGGCTTATGGGAGGGTGTAGGATGGTCTCGAGGTGCTGGAAGAGAAGCGCCAAATCGCTGCGATCATTTGCAACTTTCTGAAGCTCTTCTCCGAGGATTTGACAACAGTTTAACAAAACCGAAGTCCTTTCTCTGATGGCAACTGGGAGAGCGCTGTCCAGGACGTAGCGACTGTGCTGGAACTTCACCAGGATCAGATCGAATTGTTTCTTCAACTTCTTCAGCTGCGCGGCGCTGAAGTTCGAGTCCAGGATCATTCGAAAGTTATGAATCGCCTTGTTGAAGTCCGCCTTCTTATCCTTGTAATCTGCAACTAAATCGTCAAGTTTTTTGGCGCCGCATAGGCAACTGGTTATTGTTTTCCTGGTCGTGGCGTAACCGGAGTTGCGCGGAGTCGTCGAAAGGTTCTTCAACAGAGTTGAGAAAGTTGAAGATTTCGCGTTCGTCGCGAGGAAGTCGTCGATGTTGTTGCAGAGACGGTACGAGGCCCTCATCTCCAGATCGAGGCAATCCAAATATTGAACTAAAGTTTCCAGGACAGTTTCGAGTTTGGCAAAGTTCGCGTGCAGCGGTCTGTTCACGTCCGAGTGGTCCAGTTCAGAAGAGACAGCGTTAGAAACCATTATCTCCAGCTGATTCCTCAAGCTGTCGCACGCCCTCGGATTGATCTCGCTTTTTGTAGCGCAGACCGCAGCACTTCTGCTCATCACCTGCTGAAAATCCTCGGCTCTGCAGCTGCACAGCTCGTGACACACCTTACCATCATCATCATCCTTCAACTTAGAACCTTCAGGTTTCTGAAGACTATTGTGCCAAGACTTTGAACGTTTTCCTTTCTTCCTTTTAAACTCATCCTCGCTGTCCTCAGAAAACACCAGATGCAGTGTGGAATGATCGCTCTCCTGGTCCAAAATCACCGGCTCGCTAAATGACATCACTGCCAAAATAAAAAATAAACAATGTCAATTTACATAAGAAAACGAGATTTCAAAATATTTATATACAAAAAAAGCGTTAATCCTTTTGATCTAAAAGCGGTGCCAACAAAAAAAAATAATATAAAACCAAACAACAAGGAATTGCGGTTCGCGCGAAAACTAGAGCCCCGGAAAATTGGAATTTTCTTCGTGCGGTAAATTATGAAAGTTTCGCTTCCTTCGAGAAACGGAATCATGAATTAAATATTAAACATTGTCCCGCTCCTACAATACATCAGAACTCTCATTCCACTTTTCTTCTGCCCAGGAACTTAATTACAAAGTCAAACTTGCATCGCTGATAGTTAAAAATTCAAAACTCTGTGAATATTCATACGGGGAGGACGCCGATGTCGGGACGCGTAAAAATTAATTTCACATACAAGAATCGATTAGGAAGGGTGAAGCAAATGCATATATATATATATATTTTTCTATATGCGGTTAACCTAAATAAATTATTCAAGAGTGTTTAAACTTGTACTCGTTGTTTTTTTTTATGAAATGGGTCAAGTTGATCCGGCAGTTTCCTGCTTTCAAATGAAAATTATATACGTGTCACCAAAAAACTTTAATAGTAAATTATTCACGTACTTCTGAAAAAAAACTGTAAACTAGGATCATTTATTATGGAGAAGTAAAATCAATTGCAAAGTATACATATTATTGAGTATTTTATGAAAATTATTAGAAAAAATTCCAATACAAATCAATTAAAACTTAAAATATGTAAATAAATTTCTTAATTAAATATTAATTTTGATTAGGAAATGTGGTTGAGAAATTAATAAAAAAAAAAATTTGTTTATTAAAAAGTGAAGCTGAAAAATTCCAATACAAATTAATAAATAAAAAATTACAAATTGATATATAAAATTATGATTAAAAGACTTGTAAATTTATATTTTGTTATGGCAACACTGAATTCGTAATAGCCGAAACTTTAATGGTTCCAATGGTTGTGCAAACCCAATTTACAACATTAGTGGGGATTAACATAAATGAATTATTGCCTTAATAATGAACGAAATATCTGCGGAGAGTACCTATGCGACTATAAATCTAAAAGGTCGACCCACAACTGTTACAGTTATGTAATTCAAGCTGATTTTTTTTTTCTTTTATAAATTATGAAATATTATCATAAGTTTTAAAGTCTTAAAAAAGGTATTTTTTTATTTCTTCTATTATTAATTAGATTGAATTAACGAAAATATTGTAAGAAGTTAAAAAAGTTATGAATTTAAATAATAAAGAAAATAGAGGGTAAAATATTTGAAATCTTTTGAATTTATACATTTTTACATTTTTTTTCAATTAATAATAAAATTTGATCAAAGAAAATTTATAATTTGTAAGAAAAGATACGAAAATTTTATTAAAAAAAATTGATTCTTAGTATAAATTTATAGCTTTTAAATAATAAATAATATACACATATAAACGTGCATTACAAAAGTGCCAAAATTTGCACAATTGCTTAAAATATATATTGATTAATAGTTTGCAATTAGCAATAAATAAAACAAATCGGACGTTATGCAATAGAACAGCGCTGCGGTTATACAACCAAATCGGCATCAGGCGGAATTAGCATGAGCGTTATGAGTTGCGGAAGCCATCATCAATTGTGTCTGTGTGTGTGTGTGTGTTTACGTTTCAATAACCGTGGATTTCCTGAAAAGTTCGCGTGTCTGCGAATGAAATGCGGCTACATTAAATCGGAATTACACAGATTTATATATAATAAAAAAAAATATCAAAATTAATGTAATCTCGCATTATGCATGCACCGCATTAGCGTTACGTAATTCAATTTATTGCAATCAACTGCAGCGAATTTCCATATGGAAATTGCGGTATTATCATGGATACAACTGAATTATTTTTATTCATTTTCTTTTTTTTAGTGTATATTAATTCATTGTTTTGATATTAAAATTATGAAGATATATTTCATTGAATCGTGATTATTTTGCAAACGAAACATATTTAGATACAATTTTCATTATACAGTAAAACCTCTTTTACCGCTTCCTCAATTAACGCTGATTCGATGTAACGCAATTCACCTATCCCCCGATTTACACGATAGATTGGTTCCTGAGAGAAACGAGTAAATCAAAATCGTAACATTTTGAATGTATGTTATGTATGAATGTATGTATACATGAGTATACATTTTGTTGTTTATTAATTATGAATCAAATACAAATATTGAAATGCAAAAAAAAATGTTTTTTTTGATCATAGCCAGTGTATTTTCAACATTAATTTTTAACCGTGTAAAAGCGAAAACTTGTAACAAAAGTACCGTGTAAAAGGAGAAATATGTCATTTTTAACAGTTATTTTTAATTTGTATTTAAACCGTGTAAAAAAGAAAACGTGTAAAGAAAGGTGTATGTATTTTAAGGCTGTTTCACTGAGCACTTAAGTACTAAACGAATCTATAGATAATCCATTAAATAATATTTAGGTTAATTGGTTAATAGATATTAGTTAAAAGATTACCTAATGTTTTTTTTTTGGTGGTAAAATAAAATATGAAACTACTTTTTTAAATCGTGCTGCGTTTTATCATCAAAATGTTTACACGACAATTTGTCTTTTTTTTTTCTTCTTTTCTTTGGTGTATGAGAATATCTTTTTAGAGCGATTTTTTACGAGTCTGTTCGTTGTTGCGGGACGGAAATTGCTCGTGGTGGAAGAGGGATGTCTTGTACAGAGAAAAAGAAATAATAATATGCATATATATATATATATATATAAATGTGCATATACATAAAGTTTCGCCCTGTATGAATCGTAAATAGCGGTTTTAAAGCCAGGTACAAGATCTCCGGGCATAATAATACAGAACACTTCATTAGTTCATACAAGGCAAGTTGGAAACTTTCTCGACTTAATATAACACGAACAATATCAGCTTAAAGCTCTCTTAACATCGCCCATCCTCGCTCTTTTGGTAGCATCTTTTTACTTGTTACCACTACTTATTTCATTGTTTAATTAGACGTCGGTGCTAAATTAAACATTCGTTTTTAAAGCGTTTTCAAAGCTCAGAAAATTGTATAATTATATCAACATTTCTCTACTGTTTTGCATATTTCTTGTAAATTGAATACATGATTTGTTTATTTACAAACACAACACAAAAATTACAACTTTTTTTTTAATTTACTATAGTTTCTAAAAATATCACTGATATGTAAAAAGTTTCTTCGAACGTTTATTTATCATTACTTCATTTTTGAACACGAATTACTCATAATATTCCACAAATATCCAATTTTCATAATCATCTTTTGCATATATTCTATCCATTATAGTTTCTGAGAAACATTGCTTTTTCGAGCTTTCATTACTTCATTTTTGTACACGAGTTTCAGTCAAATCGTTGAAATCAATGAAATCACAGCAATAACAAAATAAACGTTGCATTCCCCAAATATCCAAGTTTTATATGTATCTTTTGGATCCATTCTACCTGTTATAGATTCTGAAATAAACACTAATATATAAAAACACTGCTATTTTGAATCTTAATTTGTTCTTTTTTTCATTAATTATTTAAATTTATATTTATATTGAGAATTCTTCAAGAAATAGTAAATAATTATATTTTTTCTACAAAAACAAAAATTAAAACTAATACTTTTAAAACTGTCATACGTTTCGATTGACGTCAACTTATTTCTTCGGAACTTTGTTTTCCGCGTTTGAATCGATTTTATCACACGTTTCTCCAACGAAATGTCGCATAATGTATCCTGCAGATTTCCTTCCACTTTGACTCGATATTTCTAACTTATTTTATGTAAGATTTACTGCCTCATCTATCCTAACAGATATATCAAGTTTAGAAGCTAAGTAAACAATCGCTTACAGAATTTTCCTCTGCTTTTTATTGAATTAATCTTTAAACTTTCAATGTTCTAATAACAGTTTCCGCTTACTGTTTGTGTTTCACTTGGAACATATTAAATTATATCCTCTTGGAAATATGCTTATATGAAAAATTCTTATTTTCACTTGGTTTTTCCTCAAATCTCGTGTTTTTTTTTAATATTATAGTCTTTAATTTCTTTCATAATTTTTAGTTACAATAATAATTATTTGTTTTCATTGTAAAAACAAAGCACTCATTAACATTTCGTTACCATTTTGACTATTTTTATTACAAAACTAAACTATTTCATCTATTATTACCTAATTATTTTCTTAACACATAAATGTACAGTGGAACCTCGCTTAACGAACAAAATGAATTATAAGTAAAAGGACTCACCTAAAGAGCGACGTTTCCAAAATATTATAAAGGTCTTTGCACTTAAAAATTTCCTATTGTGCGGTTGTCAATGAATACAATATTAATTCATGGACATTTTTCTAGTGAAACATAGTAATAAATAAACTATATATATAGAAAATTTCTGCTTCATACATAAGTTAATTAAATGGGAAACAATCTTTACTGCATACCGACATGCAAAATGGTTATCGACCCGACCCTTTTTTTATATAGCAAACATTTTTTTAGAGCTGAACGCTCGGCATTTCCATACTAAATACAATTTCCCTCTGTAATATCATTATCCTTTTTCCAGGTATCATTAATTTCCCATTATTTTAAGTTAAAGCATGTTTCATATACACAATTTTCTATGTAAATATGTATATATAAAACGATACATAATAATCACTGTACAATTATTAATTCTTAATATTCACTTTAATTTAAATCAAAAAAAAAACTTTTCTAAATCTTGCTCAATTATAATTAATTTATCAACAAAATTCATAATTTTATATCATTTTTATGAATTTATCATGCAATTCTTGAAACATTGTTTCATTGGCAAATTTTGATAGTTTTTATTTAAAGAATTTAATTTTTCAACAAAATCTACTTATATAATATGTTTTATTTTGTCAATTCAATCATAATTTCATTAATTTTATATCATTTTTATGATATTATTAAGTAATTCTAGAAAAATTGTTTCATTGGCAAATTTGGTTAGTTTCTATCTAAATTTAACAGATTTTGATGTCAATTTAATTAAATAATTAAACAAGTTTATTTTCAAACATTTCTATCTTCATATTCAATTTTTTAGAATTTGTTTATGTTATCAATTCAATTAAAGAATTTAATTTTTCAACAAAATCTACTTATATAATGTGTATTTTTATTTTGTCAATTCAATCATAATTTCATTAAATTTATATAATTTTTATGAATTTATCAAGTAATTCTAGAAAAATTGTTTCATTGGCAAATTTTGTTAGTTTTTATTTAAATATAACAGAATTTAATGATAATTAAAGAATAAAAAAAGTTTATTTTAAAACTTAACTGTCTTCATAATCGATTTTTTTTCGAATTTGTTTACGTTATTAATTCAATTAAAGAATTTATTTTTTCAACAAAATGTACTTATATAATATGTTTTTTTTTGTCAATTTAATCATAATTTCATTAATTTTATATGATTTGTATGAATTTATCATGTAATTCTATAAAAAAAATTTATTGTCAAATTTTGATAGTTTTTATTTAAATTTAGCCATTTTTTATGTCAATTTAATTAAGGAACAAGTTTATTTTAAAACTTTTCTGTCTTCATATTCGATATTTTTAGAATTTGTTTATGTTATCAATTCAATTAAAGAATTTAATTTTTCAACAAAATCTACTTATATAATATAGATTTTTTGTCAATTCAATCATAATTTCATTAAATTTATATCATTTTTATGAATTTATCATGTAATTTCAGAAAAATTGTTTCATTGGCAAATTTTGTTAGTTTTTATATCAATTTAACCGATTTTGATGTAAATTGAATTAAAGCACAAAAAAAGTTAATTAAGAAATTCATGATTCATATGATTTTGTTTGTCAATTAAAGAATGAAAGGATCTAATTAAGTAAGCCTTGAAATCCCCCTTTGGGGACTTTGTGACAGTTAATTTTTTTTTTGAAAGATTTACAAAGGAAGTGAGTACGCTAAATGAAATAAATTACCATGCGTTGTGTTTTCTCCGGTTTCCTTTTGCTCCATTTCGTCTTTCCCATCTAGACTTTCCTGCAAGTTTCCTGTAACACAAAAGAACTTGCATACAGCAAGGAAGCAGGATGAAGGAAGAGAGAGAGAAGGAAAAGAAGAAAAAGTATAGAGAATTGCGAGAAAGAGCAAAAGTAACTCGAACGAGCGGAGGCTTTTGAGCTCAAAGGGAAATTATGATTCGAAAACTTGGCCCGAATAAAATATTTATTTCCTCGCGCATTCCGCACATACACACGACACAACTGAGTAGACATGTAAAGAAAGAAATAAGAGAGAAAAAAATATATAAATTGTATAGGACTTTCGTGTTTGAAGGAAAGAGTAAATCGGGATTTCCGGGAATAAATTCCGAAACGAAATCCTTGGCTAATGTTGAGAGAGAGGAAAAAAAGTTTTTTTTTTGTTCGTAGAATTAATTAACAGAAGAATGGAGTATTTCGATTGGATCCGTACAAATATTTAATTCGATCTGAAACACTTCTCTGGTCGTTCTCGCTTATTCGCTGGAATTTCGTTCTTTTTTTTTATATAGAATAAATAAAAGGTTTCTCGTTTTTTTGTTGGTATGGAAGGGGGCGCGCTTTCGTCCAGTAAATTCCCTAAAAGTAAATATTGATCGGTCGGATGTCCTTCTCCTTCCTCATCTTCAGCGGGGTTGAGGTGGGGAAAAAAACGGTGGAGGGCTTTGATATTGGGTTAGGAGACCCTTCGAAATCGTCCTGGAAATTGAGCGACTGGCAACTTTCAGGAACGTTAAAATATTTACACCATTACACTCTGAAAAAATAGCGAGAAAGACAAATATGATTTATCGAATGAAACAATATTTTCTATCTTTTCAAAACGTAAAAGTAATAATATTTATATAATACGTAGCAATTATTACTTTGTCTATTTTAAAAAAAAGAATTGTTAATTATATATATTAACTAATAATTATACATAAAACTTAAAAGAATTAGGAAAAAATGAAGTAAATTAAATAAAAATCTAATTATCTTAAAACTTAGTACACTTTTATTATATATAAATATATAAGTTCGCAATATCCAAATGTTAATACCCGACGCATCCACTAATTCTTTATTTCAAATTTGAATTATATAAAGAAAAATTTCGTGATTTTGTAAATATTTTAATTTATTTTTTTTTAAATGAACTAAAGCAAAATATTTCAGTCAAATAGAATTAATTAAATATTAAATTTAAACTGACTTTCATTATTATTAAATAAGAAAAATTACATTTCAAAATTATTAACTCATTTTCAAATTTCTAAATATAGCTTGCATTAAACGAGTAAGAAATTTCCGGATTTTTACTCGTATAGTGAAAGAATTTTCCCTATATAAACTATAACGCGTTCCATTTTGTAGTCATTTTTCTTACAATTTATTTTGCTCGTTAAGCGAATTGCTCGTTCCACTGCGAGGTTCCACTGTATATACAAAATGTGTGGGATTTATTGAAATGTAGCTTATTTATGACTGAAGTTTGCATGCATTTTCTTTTGCTGAAAAACGTAAGTGTGCATTATATCAATAGAACAATTTTATTATGTGCAATTTCATCTCTAATTTGTATATTTACTTCCTTGATACGTGACTTGTACACATAAAAAAAATTGGTGCAAATAATAGCTTCTGCACAAATCGCGTGTTCTTATTTCAACACAAATTTCACCTTTGATTTATTTTGAATTTTTTTTTTGGTGCTAGTCTAAATATACATGAAAACATTAATAGTTTATTATATATCATTAGTTAAAAATTTAGACAAGATATTTCAATTCAAATTTTAATACTTTAATGGAATATTAAGCATAGTCTCAATATAAACGAAAACATTAATATTGTATTATGTTATATTAGTTAAATGTTTGTAAATGTTGAATGAAAAATTAAGCTTGGAAAAAATGTCTAAAAAAAAATTATATTATTGATGAATGAAAATATTATTAGTTCAAAATGTATACAATTTATTTAAAAAAAAATTGCGAATTTATGTAAACGTTTATGGAAAAATTGTGCTGTGTAAAAATTGTCAACATTTTATTTATTAAGCTTTGTATATTAAATTTAATTTTATAATTGCTTTCATTTAGATATTAAATGTACATAAGTTACTGCAAATTTCATTTTCAATTTTATTAATATTTTTTTATAGTGTTTATTTTTTATACAAAAATCTATTGTATATTGAATATTATTATATACACTGATAAAGAAAAATTAAATTAACAAAAAAAAACTGACTTATTGATTTGATTCGAAGTTTAATAAATTAAATTAATATATTCAATTATGTTGTATTATGACTTTCTTAATTAAGAAATATAACAATTAGACAATAATTTTATTTAATTACCTTGGGAAAACGCAGCATCTACGTCACGACGAAACAGCTGCCTGCACACACTATAAACAATTCCTATTTGGGCACGAAACGCGGTTTATGCGACGCTATGCATCAGCGGTGGCTGCGCGCGCTATACTAATTGTTATTGGGCACGAAATCACCTTTATAGTTAAGAAAACACGAATGCTCGAATCGGAACGAATCGTCACGACGAATCAGCTGCAGCTGCGAGTAATAAACAAATCCTTATATGGTTATGAAAACGCGACTGGAGTATCAAGTCACACCTGCGTATCGATGAGTCATCTGCAATTACGAATCTCCGAAACAAATCCATATATTTTAGTGCACAACTAGTACACTTGGTTCTCTTTTTATGCGGTAGATACAGGAAAACGCATACAAATAAATCGCACAAAAAAAGACCAGACACACGTATAAAAATAAAGGATACGTTCCATAATTTTTTAAAACCGCATAAAACTAAATCAATGAGTTACAATATACCGAAAATCGCATAAAAAAGGGTTTATTAAGTTTCAGAAAAATAATTAATCTTACTATATTCTTCCTGAAATGTTTATTCATAATTTTATAAAAACGTTAACAATCATAGACAAGTTTATTAAATTTCAGAAAAATATAATCTTAACATATTCCTTCTAAATTTATATGGAAAAATTTTACAAAAAAAAAATACAGAAAATTTTTATGAAAGTTTATCTTTCTTCACATTTTTTTTTCTTTTGAATTATCGTCGTTATATGAGAGTGTTTGGCATAATTTGCGAACTGGTTCGTAATCACTTTCATCACTTGAAGAGATAGTCAGCATATCAGATCTATGTCCAGAAGATAATGATTCTTCACAAGTAAAATTAGTCTCAACTTCGCATGTTGATTTTTTCCGTTTGACAATATAATCAGTGATTGAACTTTGCCATGGCTTTGCTATTTTTTTGTACAATTCCTGATATTCAGAAATGCAATTCTGAAGCTCGCGTTGAAACTTGAATGCTCGTTCATAATTATCATCTTTTTCGATGAAATGGTTTGCCAATTTGTGTCCAAACGTGTCAAAATGTCCTAAAATAGTTATATAACTTCAAAATCGCATAAAAAGAGTACACATAAAAAGAGGACCGAGTGTACGTTTTGTTTTAAGTTTACTGATCAATTAAAAAGCATACATTAATTGAGAAATATTTGGTTTATACAATCATGCATTTTCTTTGTAATTTATTAAAAGCAGAAATCATAAAATAATACTTACACCGTGTCGAGTACAGGTATCCCCCGACTTACGAACCAAAGTGTTCTCGTAAGTCGAATTTGTTCGTAAGTCGGGGCAATTTTAAAAATTTCTAAATGTACTTATATTACCACACTTTATATCATGGTTTTTACTTTTATATATGTTAAAGTCCGTATTACTGACTGCATAGATTTGAAAAAATAGATTAAAATAACCAAAATACTTACAATTACTTTTCAATGTAGGCATCACAATTATTTAATGAAAAAACGACAAAAGAAACAAATGCAACAAAAGAACTTTTCAATTTTTGTTTGTACAGTTAATTTTATTATCATTTGTAACTTGTAACAAGTTAAAGCTTTTAGAATTTTGTTCGTAAGTCCGGGAGTTCATAAGTCGGGGAATATCTATATTTATTTAAAATTTGAAGAATTGTTGTTTTTTACAACGTTTTATAAAATAAATAATTACCATATTTTATTTTTGAATGCATTTATAATTAATTAACTCTATGGTAATGAATTTGTTTAGCATATTATATTCTTAATGAAATTTTAATTAATTGACTCTATTTAATGAAGACTTTGATAATAATCTATACTTGAGATATAATTAAATTATAGACGCGAGTGCTTCTCCTTATTTTATCTAGAGTGCGGCGGCACGATGATAAAGTCACCCTCAGGATCAGCCATTTGTTTCTGCAACATATTGATTAGTGCGGCTCGTTAGGATCGACGCCTTCAAGTATTCCTGTTCGCCGCAAATTGCTCCCATTTCGGATCAATTTAGTGCCATTACCCGGCGCATCCACCAATTACTTGCAGCACGGGTTGCCTAATACAAAAGGAAAAAACAATCCTGCGGCACAGAATTAACCAAATTAAAGCAGGAAACATAGCCAACTATACTTCAACAGCAACAACAACAAAAAAAATGCAAGCATCACTGTTTTTTGCGCAGAAAAGCGGAAAGTAAATACAAAATAAAAAATGAGCTCCGACTGATATTCGAGGGGTCTGCAACGTCCGGTGGATATAAATAATACGTTAGTGTCCTAATTTTTTTTTTCTGTTTTTAGATATATATATATATTTTATATGTGTGTATGTAGGTTGTTGTATGTCGCAGGGCAGGGCTATGCTCTATTTTATTTTCATCCCTCGTCCGCCACAGCCACAGCCGCAGCAACTCTGCTTGCTGTTGTTGTGTTTTTTTTTTATATTTATTTTTCTCTCTCTTTTTTTTTGGTATGTGCGACTATTTTCGCCGCAGATATACGGGTCCTGTTTCCGCTAAAACAGAAGTCGACATACAAAAATAAAATATAAATTCAACAAAAACACGAGCCCCCGAGCAGAGTACAGCGTTTGCAGCGCTCCCCAGGGCCGAGTGTAAATAATGCACTTAATTAAAACAAATACGGTTTTTCGGCGGGTCGCGGAAACAATGGGATGCGGCGCCGCCTCTAATTTTTTTTGCGAGGGGTTACCTTGGAACTGTTCTGAAAATGGGGGTGGAAACGCGGAAGAAAACGAAGCCGTGGGGTTTAAGAAACTCCTCACTTATATTATATCTCCTTGAAACAAAACACGTCTTCCGTTTCCTTTATGTAAATTAGTAATTATCTTTGTTTAGGAGGTTTAAAATCTGAATTGTCTATCGAATATTTCTATCATTTTTTTTAAGTTGAATATATAGAAAATTTCTATTAGAAACACATTTGAATTATTTTTCATGTGTACATACTTTATATTATTAAATTATTAAAACTTTGCCAAAAAAAAACTGAAAATACTAAAATAAAATGAACTTTTAAGTCTAAACTTTATATCATTTTTTATCATTTATTAAGGATATCATATAAAGTATGCGAATTATTTTTCATTTGTTCTTACTTTTTTATTACGAAAATATGAAAAATTTACAAAAAAAAATACTGAAAATACTAAAATAAACACTTAGTTTAAGAAGTTTAAAGTCTATACTTTATATCGAACATTTCTATCAGGTATTAAGGATTATATTAAATAAAGTATTCGAATTTTGTTTTATTTGTACTTACTTTTTATTAGAAAATTATGAAAAATTATGAAAAAACTGAAAATTAGAAAATAAAACACTTAGATTAGGAAGTTTAAAGTCTCATCTTTGTATCAAACATTTCAATCATCTATTAAGGATTAGTATATACAGAGTATTCAAATTTTGTTTCATTTTTACTTACTTATAATTATAAAATTATGAAAATAAAGTCTCAACTTTGTATCAAACATTTCAATCATCTATTATTTATGTAGATTAGTATATGTAAAGTATTCAAATTTTATTTCATTTTTACTTACTTTTATTACGAAATAATAAAAAAAATTACCAAGAAAAACTGAAAAAACTAAAATAAAATAAAGCAATTACTTTAGGAAATTTAAAGTCTAAACTTTATATCGAACATTTCTATCATGTATTAGGGATTATAATAAATAAAGTATTCCAATTATTTTTCATTTGTTCATATTTTAATTATGAAAAATTGAAAATTTTATCAGAAAAAAAAAATGAAAATACTAAAATAAAAGAAAACTCTTATTATATATTTATTTCATTTAATAAGTTCTCTACATTATTCAAGAATTTTTCTATTAATCTGAAGTTGGTAAAGGCTACATAACTAAAAAAAAAAGTAAAATGCATGGAGTAATCGGTTCTTCCAATATCCCGGACTATTTGAAACCAATACAGGGAAAATGTATACAGTTAAGTACCAAAATAATAATTTTGTATACTAATTTTCTAGAAATAATTTAGAATATGCTAAATTAAAATTTAGTTTGTTTTGAAATTTTCAAACTGGGACATTAGTCAATCTACATTTATTCTGTTGTTGTTGAAAAATTGATTCAAACATTCAATCAATTTTTCAACAATAACAGAATAAAATTGTTAAATTTTTTTACTTTTTTTTAACACAATGCTAAGTATCTTTCAGAAAAATGAATTAATTATTTTTCTCCTGTTTATGAACAGTTTTTTTTCACAATCGATAAAGTGCGAGCGTGCATATGATGTGAAAACTCTTTGTGAATGCTTATTGGCGGGGAAATTCCGGGTAAAACTGATAATAGATATATACATTTTTTTTATCCATGCATTTTTGCTTCGTTACTGGATTTAACGCAATTTCCGTACCGTGCGTTTTTTTTTTATATTCGTTTTCATATTTTCCGTTTATTACATCAACGCACGAACCAAACGTAATTATTCTCTTCAAGCAATAGCGGAAGTCCGATTTATTAGATTATTTCTATTATATGGATACCCCAATTTTGTTAGTAAACTTTGTAACACGATTTTTATGTCATAGCAAAATTTTATTCACAAAAGTATGTTATTAACAATATTTGTATTTTACTCAATATGAAATAATTGAATTGATGACAATAAGTATAAAATAATAAACAAATCAATTTAGATATAAAATTTGTGAAATTGTTATATTAATCAGAAGAAAAAATTGTATTTTTTTTTTTGTAAAATTACCATTTAATTATGTTTAATGTTAAGAATTATTTCTCTACCAAATTGTTGTATTTCTACACCAATATTACAAATCAAAATAATGTTTTATTAAAAACAATATGTACAATTTTATAAATTCTAAGAAAAGTATTTATAGTTTTTTTTGTCTACTTTAATGGATTAAGAAGAGAAAATAATACAAAATGTAATGTATAACACGATTTCATATAACGCGTAACGTGTTAATCGCGTTAACATAGTTTGTTGTGTATTTATTATATATAGTGTATATATAAGTTTGAGTATGAAATGTTCATATCTAAAGGTGTGTTTTGTGTGTTTGCAGGAAGACGGGATATGCAAAAATATTCAGATTGGCGTCAACTGTGGTACCCAAACTTCGAGGACTTCGCCAAAGCCGAGAACTCCGTTGGGGATCACAACAATACCGTGACTAACGTGACTGTGCAGCTGGGAGCGACCGCATACCTGCATTGCCACGTCCGCAGCACCAACGACCGAACACTCGCAGGAGCCGAGGTAACAACTTTGCCGTTCACATCATAAATCATCACTTAATTCGATTACTAAATACTTCCTAGTCCACATATACTCTCGCACACAACCATACACATACATCATCTACACCTAGTGGATGCAAGTCCTTCTCCCTGCAGGAATAGCAAACTTTAACTGACATCAATTCCTCGTTAGAAATTAATTAAAGCTCTGCACTTAGCGGAGGGTGAAAAGCAACGGGCGGACGAGCTTTCGTTATAAACTCATCGCCGAACTCGTGATTTTCCATGAGAATTTCTAATGCTAACTGACTCATCATCGAAGCACTTAAAGCTTCCATCAAAAATTCACTCATTTACAAAATCTTCGATATTTACAAGACAAAAAGTCTCTACGTTTACGAAAATTCAGCGTTCCTGGAATTAACAAAATACTTGTGAGAAATATACGTAATTCATATAACAGTTCAAATATTAACAAGAAGAAAAAAATATTTTACATTTATGAAAATTGATCAGAAAGTTACTAGAATAATAAAAATAATTGAGAGAAATATACGGAATACATTTACAAGACGAAAAAAGGTTTTATATTTACGAAAGTTGATGAGAAAGTAAGAAAGTTACATAATTCATAAAATAGTTTAATTTTTATAGTTAAATATGTTTAATTTTTTACTAGGATCATTATACTATTTTTTTTTCTAATTATTTCTAAATTTTTACAGTTCAATATGTTGAATTCGATTTTATGTTCAAGTTATTATCCTTGGAAATAAAATTGTTGGAAATAAACTAAAATTGGATACAATTATGAAACGATAGTAGCAGATGGGAGATGCACGTCCGTCGAGCTATCACGAAACTGAAACTCTGCTTTCGTCCTTTAAAAATTGTATACAGAAACATGAAACTTTTTAAACATTAAAAACTTTGTCTCCGTTTTAATATTGAAACAATGCTCGTGGCGACACGTGTCGACCCTCGCCTCGCCTCGTACGATGTATTATTTGTCGTGTGTATTTGTGTCTGCGGCTGTGTATGGCAATAAAAGTAAAAACGTAGGGCTCCTTAGGAAACATAAAGCAATATATTTACAATTTCGATATAAATTTTTGAAACGGCACTAAATAACATCTGGCCTCTCTCCAGTGTGTGGTGTTTCGTGGATTGCAGTTGGAAAAAGGAAGAAATAAGGACCGCAGCAGCAGCAGTGTGTGGTAGGGTTGTACAACAGCCAACTGAGCAGAATAACATTAGCGTTCGTATCGAATTTCTTCTTCGGGTTTGCTCGAGAGGGAGCTTTTATGATTTACAGCTTTCGATACCTTCTCTTCTCCTCTTCTCCCTAGTCGCAATTCTTATTTTTTTTTTGTACATTGCTCTTTCACATACACACAGCTGAAATGGAGCTACAAACCCTTTTTCATCCCCCAATTTGTACACGGTCAGAATCTTAACTACAGCCGCATTAGTTACATGCGTGATACACGACGATTCGTCTTTGATAATTGTTGGAGAAAAAGTGTTATTTTGCACGTTATAAATCTTACATTTCTTTCTTTATTTTTAACAATTTCATATTGGCCTTCGATTACAATCTCCAACATAATTATAATACTTAATAAGTAATATTTCATGTTACGATCATGAAACAATTCTGATCATGTTGATATAAAATTTAGTTCGACTTGTAGCAAGGATCAGTTTCCAATTTGATTTCAATCTTTCACATAATTATATAATGCATATTTACATAATATTTCTTGTTTATTATAGTATCATCTTTATTCATATAAAATGTATCTTTACTTGTTATAATGATTATGCATTGTTGATCAATCTGTTACCATTGATTAAGTAGATGCTAATTGCTCTCTCCTAACAGACTGCTACAATTTACAATGTCTTGTATGTTGCATATGAATAAACCATGATTTAACACGCAGCTTGTCGAAAGCTACTCGCATATAAAATTAATTACATAATAGCATATCAATTATCCAGTGTTATATACATAACTAATATATATATCTCTATTCCTTGAATGATGGATGTGGATTAACGATAACAAATAGATGCGAAATTAATTTTAAAAAGTAAATGAATTATGTTGATTACAAATAAATAGCCAAGTAACTTGTCAAGTGTATTTATACCAATAAATATGTTTGAACCAAATAATTGGTAAAAAATCAGTGTAGAAACATTGTATATTTCATACTTGGAACTCTATACTTGCCAAGTTTATTTATAACGTCTATAGGAATTTATCAATTAGTAGAAGTGAAAATACTTGCTTACATAGTAACTTGACCAATTAGTTTGAAAGTATTACAGTGATTTTACATTTAATTTTAAAAAGTAAATGAATTATGTTGATGTCAAGTAAAAACTGTGTACGCTCCAATATTTCTGAAACAAAATCAGTGTAAAAAAATTGTATATTTCATACATCGAACTCTATACTTGCCAAGCATATATAGAAGTAACTTTATACTTTCCAAGTATTTTGTCCTAATTTCAAAATACAAAAATTAAAAAAATATTTTAATGATGATTTTACTAAAACAAGAATACGAATATAGAATTATCGATCCAACAGAAATATAGTTGATGTTTGATTTTAATTGCATGTGGAAATTAAGAACTGTGCAATAAATCTGGTATGAATATATCGAGAGAATGAGAGGAGGAATACAATGAAAAAAAAAACTTTTCTCCTATTCAATCGAAATCCAAAGGATAATAGTGTATGGAATATATAGATATATATAAAAAAAAATATGCCAACAGTGCAATATGCATAATAAACACATCCACTTGGACTCTGGGCCATTAAAAAGAATAGATGCGAAAGCGATTTCAGTGTACTATATAATAGAGGAATCCTGTGTGAACGTGCCTGCCAGTAATAAAAATGCTGGATGAGGAGCGCCCGAGCAATAAAAGTTGTTTTGATCAGCAGCACTTCAAAAACATATCATAAACCCATGCAGCAGTCCTTTAACCCATACTTTCATTCACCTATTTATCCATATACACACTCTCCGTTTGTTTTTTATTTGCAATAATTTTCATAGCGTTCATAGGTCATTCAAAGTTTAAACAAAGAACGCTTTGTTTTGTTGAATGCTTCAGTAAAACTGGTGTATTTATTAAAAAAATGAGTATTTGTTAGTAATTTGAATACCAAATACATAAAAAAAAATCACTGTTTACTTCATGTAACAATCTTTTACTAAAGAGAAAGAAATACGTTTAAAAAAAATCTATTCAATTTAATAATTTTTATTTAACTTAGAAAATACTTTCATTCTTCAGGAGTAGTACGAAATACATTTTGACAGCTCTGATCCTTATTATATAATGTAGCGGTGTTGCGTTAATCTGTCACATAATGTCAAAACTATTACCTGTTGAAATGAATTCTTAGCAATTGGGCAGCTGTGCAACTATAAGTATGTTGGTTTGCCAAATGACAGCTGTCACCTTATATCAAACTGGTGAAAGATTCTTAAGAATAGGAATACAAATAAATATGTTGGGTCGCGAAATGACAGCTGTCACCTTATGTCAAAACTAAGAACTGGTGAAATACTTTTAGCAATTGGGTCGCTGTACAACTACAAACAAATATGTTGGATCGCGCGGCAAAAGTATTTCTGTATTTAGAAATTACTGTTAATAGTGTACATATTTAATAGAACTTCTAACTAAATCAATAATGTCATTACTATAGTAACATGTTATAAAAATGAAGTAGAAACAGATTTTATAAATATTTAGTTGGTGTTTTCATATTTTGTTTTTAATTTTTTAAGAGTTCTACCAAATATAGTTTCTAGATCGATACTACATTTTTAGAAAGTATACACTCAATTTACATAATAATAATTTATTGGCCAAAGATTAATACATAGGAAGAAGATAAAAAAAAGTACAATTTATACATAGATAAATTTTAACATATAATAAAAATATATATCAATAGGCTGGCCAAAGGGCTATCGACCGAGGTCTTTCCGCCCGGGAACATACACTTTATTATAAAATAATATCAGTATTATAATAATAATATACAAATGAACAACAGAAGAATAAGGAAAAAATATAGAGTTGTAGTGTCTTTATTATTAATCGAAGGATGAAGGGTGGAAGGGAGTAGTTGTAAGGTGTTATTTGGATTTTGGGGGAGTTCTGAATAACCGTGGAGGACATAAGGTTAGTAATTCGGAGATGATTTCTGGAGAAGGATCTGGATTTTGGGAAATGAAGGAGAGAAGACTGGAGTTAACAATGGTTCCAGGGAACCCAATCAATTTCTATATTTTGGTATATATTTGAAAAACTTTGTAAGGTATATATTATATTATGTATTAGTAGTAATTTGATAAATAGTGGATGAGTTGTGCTGAGATCTTGGTATTAAGTTAAGACTAATTCGTGATTCGCGTGCGTAAATTAAGCGTGCGCGATTAAGATCAAATGATCGCGGCAATTGCCGCCATTTTGGAGAGGTTCACGCCTGAACTGGCGCAAAGTAATGTAGCAGTAAGTAAATAGCAAAGGAAAACGTGGGTGGAGGTTATGCATAATGCATTCGCGCTGTGCTCGGGAGTATTAGAAACGATTTCCCTTGTTGGGATTATGCCATGGCAAGATTAATATTATACCTTTGGATCGGTGCACCTTCAGGCATATTAGGGGTTGCACGATATCGATTTATTAACCCGAAAGAAAAACCGTTGGAAAAAAAAATCTAAAGATCTAATGAAGTTTGTTGAAGCTAAATACGATTTGCGAGAGAGGGCGGTTTTCTAAGCGCTAGATAATCAGGTTCGATACCTGCTCTAGCTCATACTACATTAGATAAACGTATCCACCGGAGGGATGAATTATTACGTAACGCGCAACTACTTTAACTTGATACAAATTTCGGTCCCTTGAAAGCCTCAGCGTCGGCCGAAACGAGGAGGTGAAGGAGAAGAAGAGAAAAAAAAAGTATAAGGAAAGGGAGGA